CAGCACAGCACAGCACAGCACAGCACAGCACAGCACAGCACAGCACAGCACAGCACAGCACAGCACAGCACAGCACAGCACAGCACAGCACAGCACAGCACAGCACAGCACAGCACAGCATAATATAGCATAGCAGCATGACATAACAGAACATAGCGGAATCAACATGGCATAATGCACATACACGCATACATACTCAGAATATGGGTATGTATGTGCGCATGCATGGATACATATATATGTGTGTGTATATATATATATATATATGCACATGCACACAAATACATACATGTTTCTCCAGGTGGCGCTGCGCCGTCGAGAGCCGAGTAGTTCCTTGCAGGAGCTGCTTTTGATCGCCTTCACCTTCGTGCAGGTGCAGTCGTTGCAGTCGTACGAATCGAAGAACAATGATCAGTCTTAGCCAGAAGAATGTTGAGCAAAGGAGCCTGGTGTTCCCGGGGCTCAGGATTGAACGTTGTAAAAGCTAGTCGGCAGGGCATGGGAACCTCCTTTAATTTACACGTGCGGCGGGAAGCAACGTTGGAAGTTGTGCCGGGGCCGAAGAAAATCTCCAGTGGCCACACTACCCTGGCATCATCGACACTGTGCTCAGTGTGCTATATGTAAATGTGTTAAGGATCATCTTTAGCATCATTTCTGCCAAATGCTGGAGTATACTGAAATACAGTCCTTTGAAGGTCTCGCCGCTGGGCCCTTTAGTCCACGAGTTTTTCGGGCAGCTCGTCCGTTACCTGCTGGCCAAGTCCCCGGACTGTGGGGGGCTGCAGGTTGATGTTGGTATGTGCCACAATGTGCAGTGGTTTCGGGTTTGCACAGGCCTGAGGCTTTGAGGCCTCTCGCCACTTCTTGCTTCACATGTGGGGATCGGTGGGTGTTCCGTGATTGGCATTTGGTCTCCGGGTGCCATCACCGGCATGCCGTTGATGTTTGGCACATTGCTTCCCGAATCTGGTGCCCCTCTGACTGGGCTCGACTGCGATTAGGCCTTAGAGCCTTAGAGCCATAGAGCTCCTGGAGCCGAGGAGGCAGCAAGTCAGGTTCGACGGATGGTAGGACTTCGACCACGATGCTGCAAATTCGCATGGCATCGGGGGAGGAGATTCAGATTACGAAGGATGCTTTTGAATTAGTGGTGCAAACGAACGACCTTCCTGTCAGGGCTTTAAAGCAGAGGCTGCAGACTCTGCTCGGCATACCGAGATTTCGGCAGAGACTTCTGATAGAAGGGCGCGAGCTGTGCGATTCTGATGAACTGGTTTTTCCTATGGAGGTCGAAATTGTCCTGCTGCACTTCTGTCCTGTCGACGACAGGCAGTGCCGTGAGCTTTTTGCCGCGGTTGCCCTTGATTCAGCTGAGCGACTCGAGACAGTTCTTGCTGGCCCGCTTGACCCAGACTTCACGAGTCAGACGGTGCACCAAAACCGGACGGCCTTACATTACGCAGCGGTTTGTGGCAGTGCTCGCTGCACTCGCTTGCTACTCGAAGCAGGAGCAGACAAAGACAGGGTTTCGGAAGATGGCTACACCGCACTGGGCCTTGCAACGGCACAGGGGCACTTGGAAATACTGAAGATTCTGATGCATGCTGGGGCCGACTTGCAGAAGGCACCACGAGGACGCTTCACACCTTTGTCTGTGGCCTGCTGCCACGGAGATGTAGAAGTGGTTCGCTTTTTGCTTAATGCAAGTGCGGAGACGAACCCAGACGTTTGCAGAGCAACACCTTTAGGAATTGCATGCGCCGAGAACCACTTGGAAGTCGCTCGCCTGTTGCTCGAGGCGCGCGCCGACAAGAATGCGACGATGAGTGGCAGCGTGACAGCTATGCATCTTGCCTGCCAGCGTGGCCATGCGAAGCTCGTGCAGCTATTGCTGGAAGCGGATCTTGATACGAACGCAGACTGGGACGCTAGCTTTACAGCCCTCTTGCTTGTCTCCGCGGAGCACCACGATATCTTGCGCTTACTTTTGCGTGCCCAATCCGGTGAGATTGCTCTAGGTCAGCGCAGCATTGCAGCCTTCATGGCTGTGGAGCAGTGCCAGCTTGGAGCTGCTCGCATAATCCTCGCGGATGCTGTCAAGCGCAGGGCGAACGACGTCTGCCAAAATGGATTGCTGGCCGAGTGTCTGTCCGGTCTACGGAAGTGGTGCGCTTGCTGACTCTGTGCAGAAAGAGGACCTTCAGTCTGGTGTTGTTTCGTACTCAGTGGTCTGTTTCGGTTGGGCACCGTATTTTTGAAAATACTTTGATGTTTTCACCACATACACATATATACATATACACAAGATATAGATATATCTTAAACACGCTCTCCCATTTGGTGGTTCCGGGTCATCATAAATCTTAAACACGCCTCTTCGTTTGGCGATTCCGGTCCAATATATATAATATATATATATATATATATATATTAAACACGCTCTGTCATATCAGCATATAACTTACACAGGCCCCTCCACGACGATTCCGGTTCATCACTTTTTCCCAAACAGCGTAAGATATGGGGTCTTCAGTCGAAATAAGGTTTGGGGCAGAGTGGGGCGGTTCCGCAATGGGTTCCGGCAGGGCAGGTTCCAGGACGGTTCCGCGATGGGTTCCGGCAGGTTCCGGGGCGGTTCCGAACCGGTTCCGCGATGGGTTCAGGCCAATGCCTCCAAACCGACGCCAAATGCATTTCCCGAAGCCTCCTAAACATATTTGGCTTCCGTTTCAGCAGATCTGGAGCTCCATGCCGTCCTAAACTCCTGCTGCAAATGCTTCAGTTCCAGAGAGCCCCTGAATGCATTTCAAGGCTTGGAAAACACATTTAGGAGCTGCTTCAGCTTTGCTTGCTGGTGTTCCTGTGGCCCCATACCCCGAACCGAAATCGAGCTCCCCAAGCCTCCAAACCGACGCCAAATGCATTTCCCGAGGCCTCCTAAACGCATTTGGCTTCCGTTTCAGCAGATCTGGAGCTCCATGCCGTTTCTAAATTCGAAAATACAGCCACCCATAAACCGCTCGAATCAGAATCTTTTGTTCACTGCCTCCATATACAGCTCTATCAGCTTTTCTGGCATCTTCATGTGAGCCCAACGACAGCCACTCCGCTGTTGGGGTTATTCAATGGAATTATTTTTAAGCCAACCCCTCCGCATCAAGGGTCCAAGGCTTCGTCTTGAGCTGCAACCGCCGGATGCGTGAACGTGTTTTTAAAATATTGATAAACCGGAATCGCTGAATGAGGGGGCATGTTGAAGATACATGATGAACCGGAATCGCCAAATGAGCGGGGCTGTCTAAGACATATCATGCACGGGGTTTAAGATAGATGATGACCCGGAATCACCAAATTAGGGGGCATGTTTATTATAGATGATGATCAGGAATCGCCAAATGAGGCGGCATGTTCAAGATATTTATAGGATGAACCGAAATCGCCAAATGAGGGGGCGTGTTCAAGATATATAGATATATGCTGTATATATTCGTTTATAGACAAAATGGATACACGCACACACACACACACATATATATATATACATACATAAATGTATGATGAGCCGGAATCGCCAAATGAGGGGGCGTGTTTAAGCCATTTATATATGTATAGACATATATATATATATATGTATGATGAACCGGAATCGCCAAATGAGGGGGCGTGTTTAAGCCATTTATATATGTATAGACTTATATATGTATATATATATATAGTTAAGATGAACCGAAATCGCCAAATGAGGTGGCGTGTTTAAGACATATATATATATATATAGACAAAGTAGATATATACACACATATGTATGATGAACCGGAGTCGCCAAATGAGGGGGCGTGTTTAAGCTATATATATGTATATGTATAGACATATATGTATATATATATATATATATAAGATGAACCGAAATCGCCAAATGAGGGGGCGCGTTTAAGATATGTGGTGAACCGGAATTGCCACATGAGGGGGCATGTTGAAGCCGTTGAAGCTGTGTGTGTATATATATATGTATATTTATGTATGTATGTATATATATATATGTATGATGATGATGATGATTATGATGATGATGACGACGATGATGACGATGATGATGATGATGATGAGGGTGATGGTGAGGATGATGATGGTGATGGTGATGATGATGATGAACCGGAGTCGCCAAATGAGGTGGCATGTTTAAGAGAGGGATATATATATATATATATGGTATCCCCCCCCCCCCAAAGATC